ACCTGTGTCCACCAAAACCAGCCTCACCTGCCTCCACCAATTGCCCAACAAACCTTCCCCATGCTCACCTGCACAACACAGGTCAGAGCTGATACTGATGAGAAGCCACTGAACTTCACTCCAAGAGCTCAAGGGCTGCTCTGTAGCTGGAGCAAAGGAAAATGTGAGAACCCTTGTCATGCTTTAGCTGTTACAGGAAAACTCACAGATTGTATACACTAAGAGAAGAGAGGGAGAACAGGTGTGCCATTAGAACAGGAAAGAAGTAAAGGATATTACAGGGTTCCTTTCTACAAGCACCTATTAACCTGCTGCTGCTCTCAGGAAGGAGGAGGAGGTGTGATGTGGGGGTTAGGAAAGCTAATGGGAGCTAGGCCTTGGGAACGTTCACCTGTAAAATGCAAAATAAAACCTCAAGCAGGTTAGCATGTTTGAGCTTGGAGATTTAATACATCATTTCTCTTCCAGCAGTTTTATACCCAAAAACATACTCCAGCAGCAAACATCTGTTTCTCAGTGCAGGACATTTAGCAAGCAGCAGGTATAGGAGGCACATTTTAAAAGTTGGCAGTAAAGAGCCACTTGAACAAGGCCACATCTGGTAGTGGTGCAGTTGCATGTGACAAACTGTGTGAGATTCATCATCAGAAATGTCACTGTGAAGTTTGGTAGAGACGAGATTTAAGGACAGGGAACAAAATGAAATCTGCTCAGCCCATTGGTTTGTTGTTGCCCAGACTCAGCTGAAGCACAGAGGCACCTGCACTCCTCTGAGCTGGCAGGGATAGGGGCAATCTGCATTACTTTACAGAATCACAGAATAGGTTGGATTGGAAGGGACCTTAAAGCCCAACTAGCCCCAACCCTCTGCACTGGCACCAGATCAGGTTGCCCAGGTCCCCATCCAGCCTTGTCTTGAGTACCTCCAGGGCTAGGACATCCACATCTCTCTGGGCAGCCTGTGCCAGCCCCTCACTCCACTCTGAGTAAAGAATTTCCTCCTAACAGAAATGGTAGGGGAACTGCAGAGCCATGTTTCCCCTTGGGCAGGCTATGGCAAGCCTCACCGGCTGAGCCTTCTCTGGGGTTTGGAAATGTGGTGGTGTCTGCACCACAGCCTTGTTTCTACCAGAAGCAGCTGAGGTGCCCCAGCAGGCATAATGTTGTTGCTGAAGGACCACGGTGGAGAAAACATATCCAGATGAGTCACACTAAATCCACATGGTTCTTGTGCTGACTGGAAAGCTTGTAGTTTGGATCTGACCAAGTGGCAAAGGTGAATTTGGGTTATCCTGCGTGGCTGCTGGTTGCAGGAAGACCATGAGAGCAAACGTACAGTCCTGGAACGAGAAGGTGGCAGAGCAGGTGTGAAGAGATGTCTAAGTGCTCAGGCTGCTTTGGAACTGCATTCAGTGGCATGAAAGGTTTGGGTTTCTTTCATTTGAAAGCAAAGGAAAGGAAGCAAAACCCTGCACCAAAAAAAAAAAAAAAAAAAAAAGCAGATGAGGTAAGCTTGGCCTGATACAAATGCTGAGCTGCCCGGGGATGCACAATGCTGTGCTCACAAAAGAACTGTGTGTGTGTGTGGCTGTGCTTCATGCTCAGAAATCTTTAATGGTAATTAGGTGATTTTAATGGTGGTGGTCCAGAATTCTCCTTGGTGTATTATTGGGGCAAAAATTTGTCTTTACAGATTCAGGCCTCTGAATCTGCCCAAGGCATTGCTTGCATTGCTTGCAGCGGGTGGTTCAAATTGCATGTGTATACCTGAGTGTGCACCCCCCTTCCTGAAGCTGCCTGTCTTTCCTGAAAGGGAAACTGAAGCAACTGGTAACAGAGTATCTCCAACAGGAGAGAGAACTTCAAAGGTTTTATTTACCCTTTCTTCCCTGCCAACTCAACTGATTCTGCTACACAAACGAGTATCTGTGCTTCTTGGGTCATGTACTCTGAAAGAAGCATTTCTTAAGCCTATGGGTTTCTTTCCAGGATGATGCAGACAAATCCATGCACAAGTCACATCACATAGGTGTTTCTCAAGCACATTAGCAAGGAGCTTCATCTTCTGAAGAAAATCTATCCCTACTGCAAACCAGACCGTGAGGTCAGAGCAGTGTTCATGTGTAGCACTGTGCATTTTCATAGACTCATTAAGGTTGGAAAAGACCTCTAAGATCATCAAGTCCAACCACCAGCCCATCGCCGCTATGCCCACTAACCGTGTCCCTCAGTGCCACAGCCACACAGTTCTTGAACACCTCCCTGGGCAGCCTGTGCTGATTCCTGACCGCTCTTTCAGAGAAGAAATATTTCCTAATATTCAACCTGAACCTCCCATGGGGCAACTTGAGGCCACCTCCTCTTCTCCTAAACAAGTAGGAACTTATTCCAGCAAAAACTGACAAACAAACTGAATACAGTGATCCCTACTGCTACCCAAAGCACGCAGACTTTAGGGACTGTCTCACAAGTACATGAGTCACCCCAAATGCTCACCACAGGGATAGTCCTTTTGCACCTAGGGACTGAGTTCCTTTAGGGGTCACAGGGGAATGAGAAACAGCCTAGCTCCTAAGTTAGCATCACATGCATTCAGGCACCAGGGTGTTCCTGCTGGCCTTAAGTGCTGGTCAGCACTGCTATGGAGGTCTCCAAGGCACCAAATTAAGGCAAGAAATAGGTCAATAGTTCCACAGCAGGCAGTCCTTATTCACAAGCAGGTGGGCTGACAAGCACCAGCTAAATCAACATGTGGAACTATTTTTGTCTGCGTAAATGGCAGTTGTTATTTCAGGGCAGTCTCTGAAAGGACCTGTATCATCACTGCCCTTGTTCTAGGCAGGACCTGGGAGCTGCCCTTCTCTGAGTGCCTCAGTGGGCTGCCCGCCAGAGGCAACATGATGGGACATCCTGCAGGCCTTCCAGGCCCTCCGGGGTGTACGCTCTGGCTCACAGAGGTGACGGCTGCAATGACTGACTGTCAACCAACACCCAGTGCAGACCAACCCTAACCACCATTCAGTTGCAGCTTTACCAAATCAAGGAGGAAACAAAGAGGGGAAAAAAAGGGGAGGAGCAGATGAAAAGAACCCAATAAATTTCTCTGTTAAAGAAATGTGGAGGTAAGCAGTTTAAGTTCCCCTTAACTATTGGGACCAATTGACTGGGTTGTGAAAAACTCTCTGGTTCTTCACCCGTTGGTCTGTGCTGTGCAACCAGAACCATTTGTGAAACCACTCTGTGGAAACTGGACATACTGTAGGCTCAGTATGTTTGGTTGGGTGTGCATGTTTCAGCTTTCCCATCCACCTCCAAAAACTGAAAATTAAGCATTGAGTTTATTTAAGAATCTTTACTCTTTTTTTTTTTCCAATTTAAATTATACTTCCCAAGTACAATTAAAAAAAATACAATGAAATAACACTATCTTCTACAAAATATTCTAAATAATAATGCACTTACATCATATACACAATTTCCTTTCACAATAAAATAGGAGAGCTCAGATCAATATTTACACTATTGACAGAGAACAGTTGCACAGCTATCTGCTGCTGGTGCAGTCTCTTGATGGAGCACCTCTGAGAGACTGCATCCTCCTGCAGTTGCACACAAATCCTTCTGCAGGGTAAAAACCCTGACACAATCTTTCTGGGTGCGGGGACCTGCCCATGAGGTTCCAAGGAGACTGACATGGTGACAAATATATGCTGCTTCTGCTTAAAGCTGCCACCACAGCTCATGCGCACACAATGAAGAGTTATTAAGGAATTCCCTGATTTGAAACTTTTGCTTCAGTACATTAGGCACTTCGTTTTAAAAGTTATCTACTATGGCTTATGTAAAACAAACCATTTTCCTCAGGATATGAACTTGCCAGGTAGTGGGAGAAACAGACAAGTTCAAGGGCACCCTTTGAGCCGATGAGCTAGTCTGCGTTAGAAATTTAAGTCTTCGTACTCATTATCAGTGTTTTATCAAGACCTGGCCTTCCCAGCAAGTCAAGCAATGTATTTTAAAGCTTAGTATATCTGCACTTTTTCTCCAGCTATCGGGGACTAAAGTTTCCCCCCTCACAATAATTTAACTACCGACACCCATGTTGTTCAATGTGCCATTGGGTGACAAATCCTACACATCACTGTCTAACAAAATACACTGCAGATTGACAGGTTATTTACATATCTTAATGCGTAGACAACGAAGATGCAACTTAAGAAATAATAAATACAATTCAACAGAGTATAACATTGAAAATAATATATATTAGAATGATTCTCCAGGTATTGAATTCCTTCCCCTTAAGGCCTGAGCAAGAGATCATAAAAGATGGTGATGTTTTTCAATGAGTTGAAATGGTTTTGGATAGAACTTCACATTAGACACCAGCTTTTCGAAATAAAGATGTTTAGCAAAGCTGACAGGTGCCTGAATATGATCAAACAGCAAAACTTACCCTGAAAAGGAATCTTTGGGGTAAAACAATTTAGACCAAATGATAATACTGTAATTTATTAGGAGGAAAACAGTTCTTGCAGATTGTCTCAACATTAATTCAGCAGCAAGGAAACAAGCATACAGTTAAGAACACAACGTATCCGTGAGACAAATACGCATTAGTGCACATGATTTTCCGAAAACCTTCATCCTCACCTACACTTGTGCAGAATTCAGAATGCTTCTACCTAGGTGGTTAATAACAGTCTAATATGGCTATTCCTAGGTTTGCCATTAAGAAGAAAAAAAAAAAAAGAAAAACAATAAGGAGTAACTTACTCGAGAAAGTTGTCCAGATGCCAAACTTCAGGTCCAAATATATAAGAACACTGAGAAATTTGGAATCTAAGTCAAAAACTTAAAAATTAGACCTATCAAGCTAGAAAAAAAAAAAAAAAAGATGAAAAGCAGTAAACCTGCTCTCAGAATTGCACGCTCACCAGATTTGTAAACTCTGCATGAAGTTATTGATGGTCTGTTCACTATCAGAGACACAACTTGGATGCTCTACGCAAAGCAGTGCAGATGCTTTATCTATAATTTCCTTCGTGTCTCCTTTTCCTCTTCCTTGAGGATTAAGCATTTAAAGTAATTCAGTAGCTAAAAAAGTCTGTTCTAAAGTAGACGTCTGGGTTTACATGGAAGGTGGGGTGATGGGCGTCCACATGGATGCCAGCCGACTGTGTGCAGAGGCATCGTACTGGCTGTCAGGAAGGTCTGCAGGTGCTCCTCCATCATACAGTGGGGATGTGGAGGTGGTGGCAGCGACAGAATGTGGGAGAGCGGTGTAGTGCACCGGCGAGCCACGCAGGAACTGGGAGCTCAGGCCGTTGGACATCCCGCTTGACTGAGATGCCGGGGTGATGGTGCTGTTACTCACAGACCATAAGTTGGGGTACTGACTGGAGGAGGGAGAGTGACAAATACGACAGGTTATTAGCGACTGCACGTTCTGCTGACTGTTCTGTGGCTCAGTTTATCACGCAGCCCCAGGCCAGCTTCACTTATTCTTCTAGTCCATGTCAGCACTCTACTCAGCCTACTGTCTCCCTTCTCTCCCCCCAGATATGCACACAAACAAATATATGTGTATATATATATATGTAAACACCTGTATGAATTAAGCAAAACAAGCTGGTTCAGTGAAACTCCACGGGAACAAGTTCAACACTGTGCAGCACTACACAGCATTTTCTATTTAGAGATTTCAACCAGTTTACCAAAAAAAAAAAAAAAAAAGAAGTAAAATAGAATTATTATTCTTACTTTACAGAGGCTTAAACAAAAGAGATGAAGAGATGGCAGAAGTGCCTTCCTCAAGGTCTCACAGTTCCAGTTCTCCAGATTTTATCTACTGGACAACTCTTAATTCATCAACTTAAACTCAGTGGACTTTACAACTTTCAAGTATGTATCCTGGGGGTCAGACATGGAAAGACATGCCAGGAGTATCTGTTTACTTGATAAACACACATTCGGGGCCAAAACTTCTGTTCAGTTAAGTCAGCTGTCTTATAGTGATTAGTAGTACATACTCTAACAGCTAAGTGCCAGTGTGCATGGCTCAAAGAAAGATGTTTTCCACAAACCAAGTGGTAGATACAAGCTGCCAAAAAAGATGCCCAAACATCAGCCTTCTGTGGTTAACAGCAGAGATTTTACCACCTCAGCTGTATTCCTTTGAATTTTCAAGCTCATGAGACTGAAAGTCTAAATCATGGAAGAGAATCACAGAACCATTTAGGTTGAAAAGAAACCTTCAAGATGACCAAGTTCAACCGCAACCTCTGCTAAAGGACTGAAGCTTTAAGATAACTAAGTACAAAGAGGTGAAAAGATGCCTTTATACAGTCTATTGACAGTATGATTTGATGCTATGCTGGCTTATTGAACAACACCTAAATTATTAACTACTCCCCCAACCACTTCCTCATTCTCCATGCTGCAGTTTGCTGCCCCCTTTGTAACAGAACAAGGGTTTGTGGAGCTGAATGGCCAAACAGTGACTGACTAAAATGAGACAGATCAAAAAGAAACTTTTAAACTCCACTTTGTTTAAAAGCAAAATGAGATGAAACTTAAAAGAACATCCTCAAATTCAATGGATGCCTAAGTGATTTTTGTTCTATAAAATATTGCTGTCACAAGTATCCATCTACATTTCCAAAGCATCTTGTGTCTGTTCATCTATCTGCTCTCTTTGTGCAAAGTTCTTTCACGGTGCCCCCCCCTAATGCTGGTTATTTGACATGCAGCCGCAAGGATTTTTCAATCTGATGGTGAGACACTGCCTCCTTTTACAACCTTCTCTTAGTAGTGCCGCTAAGGGATGAATTCCTACCTGGAGCTGGTAGCAGTGCCAGTGCTGTGGCTCATGGGCAGCATAGTTGTGTGTGTGGGAACTCCCAGAGAGGACCAGTTGTCATGGGACTGGAGCATGGGAAGGCAGGCAGAGGAGTTATCAGCATAAGCTGCTGAGAAAACAAGCAATCACTTCAATGCACTAGAATCAGAACAAATAACAATCTTTTATTCAAATGTAATGGATCACTTTAAAACCCTCTCCCACTGTTGGCTTGCAAAAAAGTAGTAATTAAAAAACGAAACACTCCCACAAAGAAAAACAAAGTCATCTACCAGTTGTGTTAAGCTTACAGTTTCAGTGGCATTACTGATTGCTTAGCTTATAACTGCAAAGTCCTACTTCTGTGAAGGATCTACAATGCTGTCTTCAAACCACCTGCTCATTCAGATCATGCTTCCTTACTCTGTCAACAGAAAGGCTCCTTATTCACACTATCCCCATCTCTCTTCCAAGCCATCCTCTTTATCGCCATCACCTACACTGGCAATAACAGTCTGGCAGCCCTGGATAATATATAGTCTGGATTACATATCATAGTTTCGAGCTGTGAATGCCACCACAGACTCTGAAGTTTGCTTTAGTCATCACGGAGAGTGATTGGACTGTGGCTTAAACCACACAGCGGGTGACCAAAACTGGCCATCCAACACAGCAAAGCCTTTCAAAGGTTATAAAGGGAACCCTAAACTGCCACACAGAGCTAGAATTTGCATTGCTAGCTGGCAAAGAAAAGGAAAAAAAATGGTTTCTTGCTGAAAACTTGGGAAAGAAGAGGAACGCTGGAAGTGTTTTGTTCTTTCAATTTATTTCAGGTCACCAAACTTGCCCATAATGCCCAGGTGTAAGGAAAGCCAAATGAAAGCTGGTTTTCCTCTTCAAAATAATCAACAAAGCTACACATACGTTTGAGCAGGCAGCATCTAGAAGGCAATGTATTAGTACACAGTTCAAAATATTAAGCACCTTTTCTAGATGGAAACCTTCAGCATAGGCAAAAGCTGTTACCAAGCCTTTCCCAGAGTAAGGGGAAAAAAATCATTACTAAAAATGACCTCAACTTCTGTTCCTTATGCACTCCTACTTTAAGGCACTAAGCCTTGAGCTCCTTGGCTGTTTCTGAGCACCACTGATAAATAGCTTTGCAATTCACTTAGCTCCACATTGTTAACATGATATATCCAGTTGTGACACACTTTTTGAGGACAATCTTTATGCATTAATATAAACCATGGCAATAGGTAAATAAAACTGATAGAACCAGGCCCTCAATTATTTGCTTAAACATGTTAACAGCAGTAATCCCATTACCATAAGTGGACATAAATGACTTCATCATATCTCCTTCTAACAAATGAAATCTTCACTTTCAAATTTAAAGTAAGTTTAACCTCATCAGTCATGGTAATTCAAGAATACATAGCGAAACCATAGTACAATACAGTCTAACAAATTAGGGACCAACAGCTCTACATAACCTCATTTTTTCCACTGCAAGGACTGTGGAAACGCACACTCACTGTCACTCTTTCTTTGCAATGCTACCCCCCTTCCCTCTGAAAAAACTCAACTGGAAAGCAACCGCCATTTCTGCAGCATCAGTCTAGATGCACACTGCTCAAAGCTCACATCCCATCTTCAAACAGCCGCAAAGTACAACTTACTTGGTGAGTTGTTTCTATGGGTGTAGGGATTGGGGTAGGGGGCAGAACGGTGATTCCTCAGCGGTGAGTACCTTTCACAGCTGTGAGCAGGGGAGAGAGACAGGGGTGCTCCAAACTGAGGATGAGGATTGGCAGGTGGGCACAGAGCCCCAGTCCCAGGAATAAGCCAACTACCTACTGTGGGAGAGCAAGAGTTACCTACTGTGAGTATGCAACCGGACGCTGAAAGAACAGCATGGTGACAGGTAAGTAATGGATTCAAAAGGAAATGCACGCTCATGAAAGGAGAACAAGTCGCAACACAGCTGAGAAGTCTGGAATTTCAGAGCTTCTCAAATGGTCTTACGAAGGAAAATCGGAAAACAGCATAGAAAATACCATGCATCAAGTTAATGTTTGTTAAAATTCTCATTTAATTACAACCTCAAGTTGTAATTTCCCATTTAATTACAACCTCAAGTTTCCCTATAAGTAAGGAAACACTGAAATGGTTAAACTCTCCCTTAGGTGGGAAGGATGTGCTCAGTAACAGCGTAATCGTCAGTTGTAAATTGCTCTTTTGGGAGCAGTGTATAGCTAAGATCTGAGGTTTCTCAGAATGCAAAGAACTCTCACAAACTAAGCCTCTTTTCTAAAACAGACTAATTCCTACTGTGGTTAAACTCCTCCTTTTATAGGCTACAGACAAATTTTGGCAATAACCCTTTAAACACAGACCATTGAAACACTACTGCTTTTCACTCATCTAAGAGAACTTTTCAAGCAAATGCCCCTACTTGAATTACAGAAATACAATTCCAGCAAGTTTCTGCTGTATTTTGAAATAAGCATTAATTTCCATATCTGTATGAATACTGATGTCCTTGGCTGTCTTTTTGGAAAAGAAGGTCAGTGCAAGATCCTGTTAGAGAATGCTTAAGATAACAGTGCTGCCTTTACCACACCTTCACATATCATGATGTTTATACACCCATTAGACTGCACAAAGAGCAAATTTGAAGATTGGTGATGTTATCTCCTTACGAACTAGCACACCAACCAGCAAACACTGCTCTCAAAGTTCTGCTTAATAGAAGAATTCAGAAGCGTATTCACAAAGAAAAATGAAAGGAAACATACACTGCGAGTATCCAGACTGCTGGTTGTCTCCCACTTCCTCCATCATGTCTTTGTGATCATTTCTATAAAGGAAAACATGCCAAAAGGTAAGGATATATTTTCACAAACCTACACAATAAATCCATAAACTTCGGAATTGAGTTAAGAGCTCTCACCTTTCCTTTGCATCAAGAAATGCCTTCGCAAATGGATTGTATTTAATTTTTAAAGCTGTGATCTAAAAACAACAGATATCTTAATTACAATACAGAAATCAAAGACTTGAATTAGGACTTTCCAGTGAAGTCAGGGAAGTCATAGATTTTTGAAGAACTAAGATTAGACCCACATACACCAATTTAACAGCATCTAATGTCTGAAGCGTTAGCAGTGGGCTAGGAATTGGTCCCAGCACCTCAAATCTGTGTGACCAAAGTGCCCACATTTACCTATCAACTGAGGAAACAGTTAAGAAAAATAGTACATTACAGGGCTGGAAAAAGGTTTAGGTTTCAGGACAAAGCAGAATGGACATCAATAAATCTCAAAAAGATTGGCAGTTTACAGATTCATGACATACAGACGTGCCTTTTGGCTAACATCAAGGCCAGTTTGGAGAACGGCATGGCCAGCTATTTTACAATGCAATTGAAAACTGCAACTCCGTTCCATATCACATTGGTTTGTCCCAAACAATCTATTAAACTTACTTTGCACATATACTGGGACAGGAATCAGAACTTGTGAAAATCCCAGGCATGCATAATAAGACATTTAGCTTCAGATTCAGCACAGAGAGAAGTGAAAGCTGCGGCACGGGACCACAGCTGATTTGCTGGGTAATAACGTGCACTTTGCCACCTGGAAGGCCGCCACACGTACCTCCTCGTTCTGGTATGCCGTCACAGCGATGAACTGGGTCTCGGGGAAGGAATGGCTGGTGATCATCCTCTGCGGGCCGCCCACCCGCACGATGTGGATGCGGGGCTCGTACTTGTGCAGGGAGTTCAGCATGATCTGAGAGCAAAGGGACGCGGCAGGTGAGCGTGGACCACGTACAGGCCCGGTGCCTCCACGGCCCCGCTTGGGCTGACGGTTGAACTAGGCGATCTCAGCGGTCTTTCCCAACCTCAACGATTCTACGCGGGCCCACCTACCTGCCCTCCGCCGTTGAGCTTGTTGGTGAGCTTGACCTTGCTGAAGGAGACGGGCGCCTTCATCCAGTGGGCGCCAAAGTTGGGCGAGTCGGGGTGGATGTAGACGCAGCTGGGCGCCTGCGGCTCCGGCTTGCCGCCTGGCACCCACTCGCCATTCACGTACTTCCAGCGGTGCCCGTCGGCCGCCACGAAGTCCAGCAGGAAGGAGTACATGGCGTTGGGGTCCAGCCCCGACACGCTCACCTTCAGCACCGGGAACATCCTCCTGCGGGGTGACACAGTGGCGCGAGGGCCCGATCCCGGTCCCCTCTCCCCGCTCCCCGGCCCTCCGTCCCGCCGCCCGGCCGCTACCTGCCGTTCTTGGTGACGATCATCTCGTTGGTGAGCTCCTTGAAGCGCAGCCACAGCTCGCCGTCCTCCAGCGCCACGCGCAGCTCGCGCTCCGTCGGGTCCCCCTTCTCGCTGCCCGCCTGCAGCTCGCTCTCCACCGCGCTCAGCAGGTGGTCCACTCGGTACGCCGGCGCCTTGCCCGCGTCCTCCGGGGAGCCCATGGCCGCCCCCAAAGCCCCTCCCCCCTCCCCGAGCGCCGCCGGCGGGGCCCGGCTGCCTCCGCCCGAGCTCGGCGGCCCCTCGCCCGCTGCCTCCGGCCGGGGCCGCCGTTATACCCCGCCATAAACGCCCCCCCGTGACATCACCGCGCCCGCGGGGAGCCGCCGCCGATTGGCGGAGCGCCGCTTTGATGTGCCCGCCCGGGCCGCCGATTGGCTCCCCGCGGCCATATCAGAGCGCGGCCCGCGGGGGGGCGCGCCGCGAATTGCCGCCCGCGGGACGCAGCGCGGCTGTTTGATGCAAATCCCCACATGTTGGCACCTCCATCAAAGCGCCGGGCCCGGCCGCCGCGCCGCGGAGGAAATGGCCCATCGCGGCCCCGGCTGCGCCCCGCTCCCGCTGCCCGCGTCCGGCCGTAGCGCCCGGCCCCGTGCGGGCGGAGCCCGGGGAGGGGCCGAGGATGCTCCCGGGATGGGCATCCTCGGGGCCGCGCCGGTGCGAGGCAGGGAGGCGGTTTATTGCCCTCTGCGAGCATCTCTGGGCAGAGGGCGGGAGGTGACAACGAGCAGGAAATCGTTCGATGGGCGCTCCTTGAACAACAACAACAAGCGACTCAAACGGGAGCGAAGGAGGGGGGGAGACGGCGCGGGGCGAAACCAAGGCTCTGTTCGCAAACAGAGCTCCGTCGCTGTGGGACGTCCCGGGACGGTGCCGTAGTCCCGCTACCCGTGCCCCGTCCCGACTCTGCGAGGGCCGCCGTGTCCGGCAACGAGCGCCGCGAGGCCGGCAGCGGCGAAACCCACCGGCATCGGAGGCGACGGGGCCAATTCGGTGGGAAAGGAACGGTCCCGAACACGAAGAGGGAGCAAAATCCACCTGCACGTGTATTTGGGGGAGCTGCCCTTAAAAACGCGACGGCAGCTCTTCCAAACGAGTGCTCCAGGCCGGGCTATCCCCAGCGCAGGCGGTGCGCACCGGTAACGACGCTTCCGCGGCAGCCGCGCTGCGTGAGTCCTACCGTGCGCCGAGCGCTCGGCTCAGCGCCTGGGAGCGAAGCCGCCTTCAGTTGTAGACATCCCCCCATTTACTTAAAACGCAGCAAGCGGCCGTGCCGCTCAGCCCAGACAAAGCGTGCGCTCAAATGAGACTGCCACCCAAAAGCAGCCTGGCTAGTTTTAAAACTCGAACTGACCGTGATCAAGTTTTCTGAAGTTACACATAATGTTTCCAGCGGGGGGAGGGGGAAGTTACCCTTCAGCTTGCATTCCTGATGCCGTTATTTTATTCCCTTCTCCTCCTTTCTGATCTTAATTGCACTCCGGTTGCTCTCAAGAGAGAAAACTCCCCGCTCCCACAGCCTTCTCACCGCGAGCTGCAGTGCATGACAGTTTACAGCCAAGAAACTTCCTCCAACCGAACAGTTGTAAAGATTGCCCCTTTGTAGCGATACCTTCCTCCTCGCAGGGCGAGAGCAGCCCCCAGCTCTCGGAGAGCCCGGTTGCCCAGCCCAGCGCCCGCCCCTGGCTGCCCGCTGCCGCTTTCACTCACGGTGGAGCGGAGCATCTCCGGGCGCTGCCGTATTTCATACGGGCACAGGATATTGCCGGTCCCACAAGAGTCGTCGAGTCCAACTCCTGGCTCCACACGGGACAACCCAAAAGATCAAACCGTACGGCCAGTCCTTCATTCATTAAGAAAAGCGTATGGAAGAAAAATGAATAGATTTCACTTGATATCTATGTAAAAGAGATGGAGCTTTTTCCTCGTCTGTCCATTGCTTTGGCCTGGACCCCAGGGAGGGCAGTCTTCTTGGAACTACCACTTACTGATGGCAATTCTATTTGCATACAAAGATTCCTAATTCTATTTCATCCTGGCACGTGTGCAAAGCTGAATCAAGAAAATTCCTGGAGTTTGCTCTGTAGGAGCTCTTTATGATAACTTACCCTTTCGTAACCCCATTGTTCTAACATATACCTAAAGGGGAAATGACAATATGTGAAAACACAGCGTTTTCTACCCATTTTAAGTTCATATAGTGTGAGCATTGAGCCTCTGGGATAATTGTGATTCAGATTCCCTATTTTTAAAGGGTTTTTCAATATTTAAGAGCTGATTTTCTCCCAAAGTTGTAATTTTGAAAAACATTTTCTTCTCAAGCAGGCTGAAGGGAGCACAACACCCCGGTTTCGGTTTGTTTTGCTATCACCCTGTAGCATGCGGGAGGGCAGTGCAAAAGCAGAGCGCCGTCCTGCATTTTCCGAAGGTGGCAAAACTCCCGTTGACTCGGTCAGATCTTTGCTTGAGTACTGCTAAGTACCCTCCCCAGCTCAAACGCTCAGATCCTGAGGCTTCCTGCATGAAAGTCAATGATCGAACTTCCAATGGCTTCAGCGCCAGCTGCACTAGACAGCACCAAGCAGGGAAAAAACAACACTAAGCTGAAGCTCAAAGGAAAGCCCTTAAGGGAGAGTCTGGCTAAAAAAAAAAAATGGATGTCATCAGCAGGCTTGAGTGCAGATTACTTTGGAACCCAACTCATAATTTTTAGATGAAATATTCTTTTCAGCATCTTCATAGAATCATAGAATTGCTCAGCTTGGAAAAGACCTTAGAGATCATCAAGTCCAACCTCAATCTGACCATATTGCCCTATCTCTGCAACACTAGAGATGCTTAACCAAGGAATCCTGAGCAGGAGCAAGCAGTCAGAGCCACCCACCTCCCTTAGTCAAGCACTGCTTGAAGAAAAAAAGAAAAAAAACACAGATAAAACATACCATGAGTGGCTGCAAAGAGGCATAGTAGCAGAGTAAGATACTGTTCAGTGCTTTGTCCTGGCAGAACAACTTAGAAACTGATGAACAAGCTACCAACCACAGACCACTGAACATGTGTTCTGCTTCAGAGCCCACAGGAGGCTGGTGGCACAAAATACTTCCCTTGTTGTGGACAGCCTTGCAGGACTCCCATTGAAAGACCCTGCATAAACTTGTTTTCTAAACTCCAACACACATAGATTCCAAAGTAGACTGAAGTGAACGTTTCTTGCTGAGATGTAACAAGGTAAGCTAAAAAGTTAACATTCATCTTAAATGCAGCAATCCTGAGATTTTCTGACATTGTTACTAGTAACCAAAGCAACACAGTTTAATTGATATTCATCTTTGCCCTGGGTACTATTTCTCTTCATCAAAGAATGCAGTGCTAAGAATCAAACAGGCCATATTCTTTTTGCATTGCTTTAATACCAATAACAGATCTAAGGGCAGTAAGGTAGCCACAGTTTCTCCTTTCCTTGCCTCTGAACACTTCATGGAGATTGCCATAATGCTGAAGACAAACTGGGTGCTTCTCAGCTTCATAGTAATAAGGCCTCTAGAAAAACAAGTCTTTGTAATGGCAATATTTAAAAAAAAAAAAAAAAAAATCAACTTCTTTTTTCCTTCTCCTACAGTTCAAAAACTTTTCTTCCATTCTCCATCATTTCTCCAGATGCAAGACAAACACTGTTCATAAATAAGGCTAAGGTTTTTCCTATTCAGCTGGCAACTTGCAACTACATCTTAATTGTCTTGTACTTCGCAATTAGCATTTGCCTTGAATGCTGTGTGAGGGCTTGCAGTCTCTTAGGAGCCCTTTATTGCCAAGATTACTTCCCAGTTTCTTGCTAGGTAGCCCTTCCATCCGTACAAAATAAAAACACTTGGACAGATTCCTATGAGAGGTTACTGGAGTTGAATTATCTGCCTGTTTCATTGGGGTTGTAGCTACTGTTAAAAATAGCAAGGAAGCTATTTGACTCACAACAGTGTGGGTTTTTTTTTTTCCTTTACTTCATTTAATACCCTCTGACTAATACCAACAGTAGTGGTTAACTGTATTAGCTTTTTCATCATGTTGATAAAGTTGGCTCATAGGAAAGGACTGGAACTTAACTCAGCATGGATATAATTTGAACTCACAGGTAGGCCTCTTGTACATCACCTTACTCACCTTTTAGACTCCTCCACTGCCCCCACATCTTTGCAAGATGTGCTCTACTCTACCTGTCCAACACCTCCCTTTGCCTGCACTTGCTTCACCACTGAGGACTTTTCCACAGCTGATATATGTATTTTTTTTTCATTAGTATTTTTTAAGAGAGTGAAAATCTCTCAAACTGATAAAGTCACCACCACGCTTTCCTGTGAATCTTCTTTTCTATTATGTACTTGGTATTCATATTGTGCCATCCTTGGCAGGTCTGCTAAGAGGAAAACACAAGGTAGAAGAATTGCATGGAGCAAAAAAAAAACTTGGTCTGGTGCCAATGATTCTAAGTCTGAACAACGTCTAAATAAATAAACAGAAATGCAGAAAAAAGAGAAATGACTGACACAGCAGCTACTTCAAGCTCCTGTTGGTCTTCCCAAGGAGACAATGGACGACGCCAACTTCTTGTCAGGCAGAACTAAACCAGAGAGCAGCTTCTGGGACATAGAGAGTAAACTGTGCTTCTCTGCTTCACGAAGAAGAGTGTAAAATATTTCAAAATGTTCAGCCTTTGTGCTAGATGTACTCATTAAACTCCAACAAATAGAAACACTTCCTATAGTTCTCCATCTTAGCAAAGATTAAATGGGTCTTCATCATGTTTCTTTCAGCCTTAAGCCACCTGATGAGGTGATCTGGGAGAAGATGCTTGATTTAATCTACAGCAGAAGAGTCTGGGAGCCATGAGAGCTGATTGTGAGACAGACCCTCCACCTCACCTGAGGCATCTCTACTTTGGTGAGCATCTCTCTTCATAGTGAGAACATTCCATAGCAATTGTCTTTGGTAATATCCTTGTTTTCTCTGGAATCATTTGTAATGAAAGTAAGTATCAGAGAAGCTAATAATGCATAACAAGAATAATTACTCATTACCTTTGTTCTCAGGTAGAGCTATTATGGTCTGGTTCTCTAACAAGGATGCATCTAATCTGCTAAATTCTTTTCAAACACTTGCACTTCTAAGCCTATTTTAGCTCCACCTGGCCCCAGCACTCTGCAGGCATTGGCTTGTTTTGCTCTTCCTAATTGCCTAAAAAAAATAAAAT